ATCGACTTCGTCGCAAGCTGGGTTTCTTTCCCTGTCCTAATTAGGACCCGTCGAGTGTCAATGAGGCCGCATACAGAACATCCCACCGCACGTGGATCCTAATTAGGACAATACTTGGACCGTACGTGTGACCAACATCAAATAGTGTGAAGATCGCATCCGTGACAGACCACGACCACGCTTTTCGCGATGCTCCCGCCCCAGCCGCCCGTCCATTGAACTAGTGCACGCATGCCTACTTGCATAGCTCACTCTACCGGCGAGGCCAGGCCGCAAAACAAGGACAGAAAAAACGTGGCTTTTCTGAGGTCCTGCCACGTGGACGCGCTGGAGCCGGTGACGAGCCACCTGCCATCGCCGCGTCGCGCTCGGACCACAGTACTAGTATGCAGCACCATGGTGATATTGTCGCAATGAGTTAGCTGTCAACAGGCATCTTTATAAGATAGAGGCCGTGCTCATGCGCTCGTGCGCCATGCCGTTGCGTCCGACAAGGCGCACTAGTCATCGTCGTCGTCGTCTTGGGGAAGAATGGTATGAGGAACGAGGGACTTGGAGCGCACCGCGGATAGTATAGCGCCATGACGTCGCTCGCGGATCGCGGTGCAATCGCAAGCACAGAGGCGCATAGCTCTGGTTCATGCGCGCGTCCGCATTTTTTATGCAGCACCAACTTCAACATCGCCGCCACGACGTTGGCTTCCCGCTCGCCGGGCACCGCGGTGCGTGGCCACTTGAGGCACCCATGATCTGTCGACTGGCATCGGCGACGTGGTCCTGACGCTGCGTGCCGGCCGCCGCTTGCCGTTGCCAGCGATCCGAGGCGGTCGTGCTCAACTAACACTATTTGTGTCGTTTTTTTGCACCACCACTCAAAAAGTGCAATCTCGCGCAGTTTACAAGAAGATCCCAACCATGCACGTCGTCAAAGAGCTGCTCGACGACGCCTTCGAGAACTACGTGCTCGCGACCGAGGCCAAGGCCACGTCCGAGCTGCGCCTCGAGATCGGCGCGCTGCCGCCGCTTGGTGTGCCACCGGCCGCGACCAAGGAGCAGTGGCACGCCCGCATCTTCCACAACGGCTTGACGCAGGACCCGTTCCGCGCCGGGTCGGCCTACCTCGTCAATGGCCGCGGCGACGTTCTCCACGCGACCACGGACCGCGATGGCCATCTCGCGACACGCAAGGTCATTGGCCTTCCGCACCTCGCCGAGGCGCATCCCGACATGCAATTTGAGAACGTCTCGATGGCTGTGCTTGCGCCCAACGCCGTCCTGCTCTCGGATGGCACGGGCGACCTCTTTGTGCTGAGTGGCGACGCAAGCAGCCCCTGGAGCATTCGCTTCTCGGGCGCGCCGTTCGGCAAGCCGACCTCGTTGACGCTACTCGAAGCGCGTCTCGAGGACGAGATCGCTGTGCACGGCGTTGTCTCGCAGCTGCTTTTCCCGACGAGCGCTGACGCGAGCGGTAGCACGTATGCGATCTCTGCGTTCTCGATCAACTTGCAGAGCGGGTCGGTCGCGACGACGCTCCTCTACACGGGCGGGAAGCCACTCGGGTATGCCTCGTTCGCTTCGGCCACGGACCTTCTTTTGCTCGTCGAAGGTCCCCACGAGCTCAAGGTGGCGTTGCAGCAGCCGCCGCCGACGCCGATCGTGCACAAGCGACCGCACGACGTCGACGACGACGACGCCGATGGCCCCGAGCTGCTCAAGTGCCTGCGCGCCGGGATTGGTTTCGACGGTGTGCACCAGAGCCCGCACGTGCCCGCCTCGTCGCTCGGCCACGCCACCGACGCTCTCTACGACCGGTTTGTGGCGTCGTCGACACCGTTTAGCAGCATGGAGACTGCGACGCGGTCGGCGCCAGCATCCTCGGCGCCCGTACCGGATGAGAGCGCGCGCATTGAGATCGCGACGCCCGACTCGATCCTCGGCGGCTTTGAAGAGTGCGACGACTTAGACCCGAACGCGACGGCGGTCTTGTACCGGTATGACGTGGCGTCACGGGCGTGTCTCGGCCGCCTCCACATCGACTGCCGGCGCTTTCACTTTCTCGGGGCCAGCGCGACGCCACTGCAGACGTCGGTGACGACGTATGTGCCGAAGAAGCTCCTCTTCCAGTACGACGTCCACGGCGTCGTCTTCGGCGTTGGCGCCGACCTGCGGCACTTGGAGCTTCTCCACGAAGCCACGTTCCAGGCACTGGCGTACGTCCAGGCCTCGAAGGAGCAGAAGAAGTATCTCCAGTTCCACCCGAGCTCGTCGCTCGCAGCGATTGCCGAGTTTGAGAAGCGGCTCTTCGTCTACACAGGGCCGCAAGAAAGCGGCGCGGGGCCGCATCGGCGATCGCACTACCTCGAGGAGCTCGCGCTCAAGGCGCCGACGATCTACGGCCTCCAGTTCCTCGACGCCCAGAGCCTGCTGCTGCTCACGCCGTCGGCACTCCTCCGCGTCTCGATCCCGACCTTGTCGTCGTAGCTGTACCATAAGACAATTCTTCTGCTCTCTTCGCACGGTTGGTCGGTGACGTGGCCATGGACAAGTGGAAACGGAATCTGAATTGAGAGACGACGAGTGCTTAGATGGTCGTGGTCGTCGCGATGCGCTGGAGCTCGCGGCAGACGTCGTCGAGGCGCTTGTCGGCGCGGCTGCAGTCAAAGGCCTCGACGTCGACGCTCGCCATGACGCTATAGAACGCGAGGACCTAGCGTGCCAGCATTTGCCATCCGCCACAAGGTACATGGAGTCGCTACATACATGCGTCTCGAGGCCGTAGCACGAAAAGATGTGGTTCTCGCCCTTGATGTGCACGGCTTGGGTCTCGTTGTGGTTGAGCGAGCTGGCTACACGAGGCAGGAAGGGTCCACAGATACCGAGGAGCCGAGGTGGTAATACCAAAGAGCGCGACGGACCGCCGCAGCGTCGTAATGACCGCCGCGAGCTCGTCCGGGTTCATGCTCGCGGCGGCGTGGCCGTGGCCGGTCGTCTGCGCGACAATCTCGCCGGCGTCGTCGAGGAGGCAGAGGTACGACGTGCCTAGCATAGGCAACGATGAGCAGGAGCGCGCGCTCCGTCCGATCTACGCACCAGGATACACGTCCGCCACGCGGTCCAGCGTCGCGACGAGGAGGCGCTTCCGGCGCTCCTTGCGTCGCCGCGTCGCGCAGCAGAAGCACCGGCCGACGACGTCCATCTAAAAACACTCTGTTTTTGGATCTTCCAGAGCCGTTGGCGATCGAACAACTTGAAGTCGAACAAGTTGAAGTCGATTGGCGCGAGCGACCAGCAGCATGAGCTCTCTTCCAGGCCGGCGTCAAGATGGATGCGGCTGGCCTCCCGACGTCCGTACAGTGCCATCGACGTACCAGCGGCTTTATGTGGTGGAAATCGGCCCCACCCTTCCCGAGCCATGGCCCTTCTTTCGATGCACCATTCGACAAGCGTTGTCTGACGGCGTCAATCGCTAGACCTCATGGCTGGTTCGGTACCGTGCATTCCATTTGTGCTTGATCAAGATTGAGGAATGCATAGTTCAGGAGCCCTATCAGCTCCAAGCCCGCGTGCGATACGCATTGCTATCTATCCATCTATCTATCTATCTATCTATCTATCTATCTATCTATCTATCTATCTATCTATCTATCTATCTATCTATCTATCTATCTATCTATCTATCTATCTATCTATATATCTATCTACATGTATCTATCTAAGGGGCTCACAATATACTGTATAGACCGTTGGTCGACTGCTATGAGGTCCACAAACTGCCTCGCGCACCGTGAGCTCAAACCTCCACCAAGATGCCTGGTTCATCCGCCTTCATTACTCTTTCTTCGGGCCATGTTCACGCGATATACGCCGACGCTACTACCACTACAAGTCGACGCCCTCGTCCTTGTCCTCGGCCACTCCGTCGCCCTCGTCGGTCGAGTCCATTCTCGTCGGCCGAGCAGAGACGCTTGCGGCCTTCACCGCGCCCGTTCCCTTCCTTGTCCTGCGCCAGCACGAGCAGCTCCGCGAGCAGCGTGCGGTACACGCCGAGGACGCCATTCAGCTTGGCCGCAAACGCCTCCATGCGGCGCGCGCGGGGCAGCTCCCGCGCAGCATTCATCGTGCGCGTCACATCGCGGTACTGCTGCAAAAGCACCGCGTGGGTCGGCGCGAGGCGGTGCACCGGAAGCCAGGACGTTGGCGCGGCCGCCTCGGCCGACGGAAACGTCGGGTGCGGTGGCATCGCATGCAAAATGTAGTCGAAGAGCACCGAGAGCTTCGTGTCGCCGGCGGGGCCGCAGAGCGCGGCATCAAACGCCGACGCGCCAAAGAGGCGGCTGTGCGTTGGCGGCACCGACTCCTTGCTCCACATGAGCTCCGTGTTGGCCACGATATAGTCCATCGCCGTCGACCGAAACCGGTTGCCCACGTCGCACGCCACGTCAAAGTGCACATCGTAGGTGCCGGGCACATTCGCGGGGGCCCGGAACGTGGCGCGCACGTGCGGCGTGCTGTGCAGGTCGTCCGACGACTCGTAGACGTTAAACTTTTCAAAGCTCATGGCATCCACGAGCGTCAAGTCGGCGTCGCCAAGCGAGGGGTTCATGAGCGAAATCGGGCAGTCAAAGGACGCTGGCGCGTGGGGCACTGCGCCGTGGTGCAAGAGCGCCAGCCAAAACACGGCCAAGAGCACCTTGACATCCGTCGACTCGAGCAAGCGGTAATTGTTGGCCGTTTGCTTCCACGCCCCGTTGATGGCTTGGAGCGCGAGTGTCCGCAAGCGGTCCATGTGGAGGTGGCGCTGCCCCGAGACCACGTCCGTCGAAATCAAGTGCGCCGCGGCGTCGCGCAGCGTCAACGTCGTGTAGTGCACCGCCATGCCTGGGTCGCTCGCTGGCGAGAAATGTCAAAGTGGTGCGCTCTGCTGGGCTCTGCGGCAAACGTATCTGATTGGCCGTTCTATATTCGGCGCGCTCGGATTGGTTGAAAGATCGGCCCGTTGACGGTGTTTGATGGCCCCGTTGGAGCTCTGGCAGCGCAAAGGCACGATCTTGTACACAATGGGCCCGTTGACCATGCGTAGTATGCTTTCCAACTGCTGCGAGAATCCGACGTCAACTAAGGCCTCGTAAGTTTGAATGGAGAAAGCCATGTCTTTGGTTCGTTTTCGTAGATCTCGCCCGCCGTAGTCTAATACTTCGAGGGTTGCACGGTCAACGTCGACAGATACCGCCATTTGCACTGCAAGCCGACAACGGACGATGCCTTTCCGATGCGCCAGCTCAGGCCCACGTCCCACGGACCGCAGTGAAGTGCCACACAAACGTTTGTGCCTCAAAGTTCAAACAAAGCCGTTATACGTCAATGGTTAAACGGCGTTGATACTTCAGTCGTTGATACTTCAGTCGTTGCCGGAAGGACTTCAGCGTGGAGAACGCAATGTGTTGTTGATCGACGACCGAGTGCCCACCCGCGTGTGAAACCGTAACCGAGTCGGTTTGTGTGATGTGAGAAACACAAAAACCACCGTCTCTTTTTTTCACGCGGGACCTCGCACACGTGTGAAATGTGGGGTATGTGCGTCCGTGCCACGGTATCCGGAAAAACTACCATGGAGGCGATGTTATCCGTAAATCCCGATCTTTGTATCCGGAACACGTACCTGTGGCAATTTGTTGGTGCCAACGATGTCCGTCCAAGTCTACGCCTACGAGCTCTTCCCTGGCAGGTACACTACTGCGGCGGCGCCATGCTGCGTGGCCTCATGCGTGCTCTAGAACGCTGCATGTGGGTCTCTTCCATGACGTCACGAACGCCGGCGAGCTCCTCTCGCAGCTCCTTGCGCAGACCATCGACTTTTCGCTCATCAACGCCGAGATGGTGCGCGGCAGCTGTCACCTCGCCGCTCATGTAATAGAATTGACATACTAGGTGACGGGCCTCTTTCCGCTGCATGCGGCGGCGTCGCGCACGCTTCTGAGCAGCCAAAACAACGCGCTCATGACCAACACGCTCCACTCGGAGCTCGTGTACAACCTGTCGGGCTCGCGCAACGTCACCGATTCGCTGCGGCGGTTCGGCATTAGCGCGGCGACGACGAAGCTGCTCATCTGCGCCTTTGATGCGGACGCGGCCAAGCTCGACGAGATGCGTCGTCTCGTCCAGGGCACGCTCGTCGATGTCGCGGGTCTCGAGAGCCCCAGCCACGTGACGCCGGCCACCTTGCAGCAGCTCAAGAAGCACTACAAGATCACGGATGTGGAGCTCACGGCGTCGTCACTCACGGACGCGATCGTGACGCGTATCGCGACTAAGAGTGTCAATAAGTAAACGCACCTCCCTCGTCCTTGTCATCGGCTTCTACTACTCGAGCGTCCATGCGCAGGGCATCGACGTCCACTGAACTACCAAAAGCTACCAACAAGCAGCCAATGCCGTAGAGAGGGCGTGTGGGGGCATGCCACACGCCGCCTGCGACAGCCGCTACGACGTTGAAGTCGCATCGCATGCGTGCTTATCACGGACCTTTCTCTGCTACGCGCGCGTCCGTGGGCAACTGCTACCGACGCACCACCTCCTCTGCCCGCCCACTGTATTTCATGCGTCAGATCAGCATCTTTGCTACGTCATCCGCGGCTGTATCGGACGGCATTGGCTCATTGGCGCGTTGGCACGCGTAAGCTTATCCTTGTGTGTTGGAGCATCATCACCTGTGAAGCGCGACGACGTGGCAAGATCGCGGCCCTTCGCGACTTCGGCACTGGCATCAAATGGCCTTTCTCCAAAGGCAAAACAAGACGGCAGTTCTTATCGGGTCGATTGCCTGCTTCACGTTATCTCGAGCCGGAGAGGTGGCAGCGCTAGCAGCGGCCCACTTCGCATGGCCGCGTCAAGTTTATCCAAGCGGCCACCGCCAAATGGACCAGCAGCTTCAACGTGGGTTGGGAGCCAATAAAACACAGGCGCCACGGCCGCCCGTTCGATCTGCGACACGTGCATACAAACACCAAGTCGATTGCTCGACGCTCGCGAAGATTCCCCACGCGGCCACACGTTAAAGACACCCAACTCTTTGGGGCTCCATTGCCTTGGGCATGGTCCCGACGGACCGCCACGCCACGCATGTCGAGGCTTACCCACGTAAACGATACGCGCAAATGCTCCTTGCACCTCGCCCTCGTAGCCCTGCGAGCTACGGGGCGTCTTTGAGGGCGCCCTACTATCTCGCGCAAGAAGCACCCAACCGGCTGACGGCTTCTCTTCGCACACGAGGGCGAGCGGCTGCCCCCGTACCGGGAGTATAGGGTACATGCTCTGGACCGTTGATCTCTTGGCTCTCGGCAAGAGCTGCGTCAACGCTGCGAACATCCGCCGTCGGGGCGTCAAGTTGTGTGCGATTAGCCACATGACCATCGCGTGGCAAGCCCAATCTTTTTGTTGCATAGCAGGGTCTTCCACATCATCCTCGACGTCATTTCCGCTTTTGCCTCCGACTGCAAAGATGGCCCTGACCCACGAAGAAGAGACGCTGTGCGTCAACACGGTGCGCATGCTTGGCGCCGACCAGCCGACGGCCGGCAAGTCGGGCCACCCCGGCGCGCCCATGGGCTGTGCGCCCATGGCCCACACGCTCTTTGGCAAGGTCATGCGCTTCAACCCGACCAACCCCAAGTGGGCCAACCGCGACCGCTTCGTGCTCTCCAACGGCCACGCGTGCGCGCTCCAGTACTCGATGCTGCACCTCACGGGCTACGACGTGCCGATCGAGAGCCTGAAGTCGTTCCGCCAATGGGGCTCCAAGTGCCCCGGCCACCCCGAGAACTTTTGCACGCCCGGCGTCGAGGTCTCGACCGGCCCGCTTGGCCAAGGTCTCTCGAACGCGGTCGGCCTTGCGATCGCCGAGAAGCACTTGGCCGCCGAGTTCAACAAGGCGGCCACAAC